TGGAGAAAAGACCTTTGAAAAGGTCAACATTCCAGAGAGCACCTGGGTCCTGCCTCCAGGTGGTGCCACCAAGCCTAATGACTTGAGTTTGATCTCTGGGGCTACATGGTAGAAGGAGAGAATCACCTTCCACAAGTTGTCCTCTGACCTCCCACCCCACAAATAAATAAATGTAATTTAAAATTTTATATTGGGAACTTTTCTCTATGCCAATAATGAACATACTAAGAAATCAAAATAGTACAATTCACAATAGTCTCAAAAAATAAAAGTAAAAATGAATTCCTAGGAATAAACCTAACCAAAGAGGTGAAAGGGTTCTGCAGTGAAAACTATGAAACACTGAAGAAAGAAACTGAAAAGGACACTAGAAGATAGAAAGACCTCTTATGCTCATGGGTTAGAAGAATTAATACTGTGAAAATAGTTATACTACCAAAAATAGTCTATAGATTCAATGCGATCCCCACTCCAAATGGATCAAAGACCTTAATGTAAAACCTGAAACTCTGAAACTGATAGAGGAAAATATAGAAAAAATACTTCAAGATATAGGTATATGGGACTGGAGAAATGGCTCAGCAGTTAAGAGCACTGGTTGTTCTTGCAGAAGATCCAGGTTTGAATCCTAGCACCCACATGGTAACTGTTTGTAACTCCAGTTCCAGAGGATCCAATGCCCTCTTCTGTCCTCCATGGGGACTGCATGACATGGGTGCACTTACATACATGCAGGCATAACATTCATACACATAAAATAAGTAAAAATTTTTTTTAAAAGATATAGATATAGGAAAAGTCTTCATTAGAAAGACTCTAATAACTCAGGAAGTTATAACAAGAACTGACAAGTCAGATTACATGAACCAAAAATCTTCTGCTCAGGAAAGAAACCTGAAGAATGAGGAGACAGCCTACAGAATGGGAGAAAAAAAAATCTTTGCCAGGTATACATCTAACAGAATATTAATACCTAGAATATGTAAAAGCTCAAAAACTTAAACCTAGGGCCAGGTGTGGTGGTGTATGTCTTTAATCTCAGCTCAGGAAGCGGAAGCAGGTTGATCTCTGTAAGTTCGAGGCCAGCTTGGTCTACATAGCGAGTTCCAGGCCAGCTGGGGCTACAGGGAAACCCTATCTCAAAATAAACAAATAAAACCAACTTAAACTTCTTAAAACCCCACAATCCAATCAATAAACAGGTAAATGAATTTAAAAGACAGTTCTCAAAAGAAGTACAAATATGAGAAGTTTTTAACATCCTTAGCTGTGAAAGAAGTACAAATCAAGACTAACTATATTGCGCTTCCCCCTCATCCCAGTCAGAATGGTTGTCATCAAGAAAACAGTAATGGGGCTGGAGCAATAGCTTGGTTGCTTAAGTTGCTTTCCATGCAAGCATAAGGACTGAGTTTGATCCCTAGGACCCATGTAAAAAGCTAGGTATACAGCAGCATGTGCTGTAATCCCAGTACTGGGGAGGCAGAGAGACAGACAGAACCCTGGGGCTTGCTGACCAACCAACCTAGCCTAGTAGTGAGCCCCAGAGGCCAGCAAGAAACCCTGTCTCAAAACCATCAAACAACAACCCAAGGTAAATGTCTCTGGAGGAATGACACCTGAGGCTGGCCTCTGGTCTTAATGTATGCCCTACACATGCACCTGTATGCATACAAATACCTCTAACACACACATATATACACAGAAAACAATAGCAAATGCTAGCAAGGAAGGGGGGAAACCTTTGTACATTGTTGATGGAAATGTTAATTAATATGACCACTGTAGATATCAGTATGGAAGTTCCTCAAAAAACTAAATGTAGAAATACCATATGATCTAGCTGTACTATTGCTAGGTATACACCTGAGGGAATCCAAGCATATGATAGAGATACCTGTACATCTATATTTATTTATTTAAGATATTTATTTAAATTTTTTTATTTATTGTTTTTATTTTATGTGTATGTGTGTATTGCCTGCATGTAGGTAAGTACACCTGTATCGTGCAATGCCCACGGAGGTCAGAAGAGGCTGTCAGACCCCTTGGGACTGGAGTTATGGACAGTTGTTAGCTGCCATGTGGGTGCTGGGATTTGAACCTGGGTCTTCTGCAAGAACAACCAGTATTCTTAACCACTGAGCCATCTCTCTAGCTCCCTTTATTTATTATTTTTATTTTACATGTATGAGTGTATTGCCTGCATGTGTGTAAGTGCATCTGTATTGTGCAATGCTCATGAAGATTAGAAGAGGGCATTGGATCCCCAGAACAGAAGTTATGGACAGTTGTTGGCTGCTATGTGGTGCTGGGAATTGAACCCAGGTCCTTTGCAAGAGGAGTCAGTGCTCTTAGCTGCTGAGCCATCTCTCTAGCTCCACATCTATATTTATTATAGAATTATTTACAATAGTCAAGTTATAGAATCAGGTGAAGTTTTGTTCTGCCATAAAGAAGAACAAATCCTATCACTTGCAGAAGGATAAATGGGACTGGGAATCATCATGTTAAGTGAAATAAGATTTACATAAATATCACATGCAGAATATTCATATGCAGAATCTCGTTTCAAAAATATATATGAAAGTAGAAGTGGGACTATTTGGAAGGAGGAAGGGGACAAAACAAAGTAAAGAGGGGATGAATATGAGCAAAGTACATGCTAGACATGCACGAAACTTCATAATGAAGCCAATCATTTTGTACAATAAATGTGTGCTAATTAAAAACTTTTTAAAGATAGATGGCCACTTGAACTACAAAGATATTTATGAGGGCCTGCAATCGATCTAACAATGGCAAGAGGAAATAAATACTTCTCTAGTTTTGGTTTTCCAGTGTTCACTTGTATCAAAACAGAACTACCAATTCATAAAAATTTGTATTGGGTGGTGATGGACTAGAGTACAAAGGAGAAGGAGCCGAAAGCTTCTTTCTAGGAGCACAGTTTGTACTTGACAAATAAATGTTTGTTGACAAAAGAATGGAGGGAAGAGCAGCAATGAGAAGGGAAAGGTTTCAAAGACGATGTATTAGTCACTGTTCTGTTGCTATGATAGAAACACTGACCAAAGCAATTTATAGAAGGAAGAGTTTATTTGAGCTTACGATTCCAGGGTAACTACAGTCCTTCATTGCAGGAAAGCATGGTGGCTGGAGGTGTCTGGAGCAGGAGCAGTAGAAGTGAAGCTCTCACATCATCACCAGGCACAGGAAACAAGAGAACAACTGGAGATCTGGCAAGGCTTAAGAACTCTCTAAGCCTACCCCAAGTGATGTGCTTCCTCCAGGAGAGCGACACCTTCTAAAACCTCCCAAAACAGCACCATCATCTGGGGACAAAATGTCCAAATACTTGGAGCCTGTGGGGGAC